ACACTGATCCCTTCCTCACCAGCTTGTTCAGTCTCTACCAGGGGCGCAGCAGACGACAGCGCAGATCAATGATGTGAAATGTTTAATGTTGGTACATTTTATTCGCAACCATCCAAGTCTGCAGATTAAAATGCTCACAGCTGCAGTTCAGATGGTTCTGATTCTGTTTCTGTCCTTTTTCTCATGTGGAACCAAACTTCCTGGCTGTTAAATGAAGACAATCAGCTTCTAAATGCCGATAAAATTTATAATAAATCCCCGATAGAGATCCTGCTTTTTAATCAATGACCCTATAAAGTTTCGAAACCTTTAAACTCCAGTAAAAGCCATCGTAAAGTCAGACTTCTGCAGCTTGACCGCCAGGGGGCGATAGAGACTGAACCACACATGAATAAGAGAATCAGAAAATGATCTATCCTTCTCTGTTCAGTCTCAGTGCTGCTGCTAAAAATGTTTTAACTCTCTAAGTATGTTTAATGAAATTGTTGAAAAGAATAAGAAGAATGAAATTATTTCCTTTCTTATAAATCATTCTGAATTGTTTCTGAGGCCTTCGCGTTTCGTTTAGTTTGAGCTCAGCGGCCACCGTTCAAACAAGATGGTGCTGGAGAAGAAAACCTCCGGTGAGTTTTTCTCTTTTTAGGCTGACTGGTGAATAAAAAGCGACCCTGCTGCTGTGATCAGATGTGTTTTAGAAACATTAGCTGGGGGACAGAAGTTACCCCCTAATAGGGTCTCCTTTGGGGGGTTTCTGTCTGAAAACATCCGCTCTGCTGCGGACTCCACCGAAAAAACAAGCTATTTAAGCCGAACTGCAGTTTTAGAAATAACCCTGATGTATAAAGATACCGATTTTACATCAGAATTATTGTTACTAATCGGTCTATCATTCGGCTGATCAGGCGGCCTTCCTCACTGGCCAACTGGAGAATTATTAGAGATATAAGTTTCACCTTAAATGTGTTCAACATGGATAAACTGTGACTCAGAATACAGTGAGACATCAGTTATTATTAATCATGGAGCTAATTTATAGTGTTAGGTTGATAAACTGCAGCTGTTTGGTGTCTGTATTAATGGAGCGATCTACGGCCTGGTCCCACAGAGATGCTTTAATCCAATATGGAGCAGAAGTATGGAGGACTAACTCTGCCATATTTAAAAATAAATACTGAAATAAATAAATGCTCAATAAATATATAAGCATACAATTAATTGCCACCAAAAATACAATAAACAAATAAATGTAAGCAGAAATTAAATTATAAAGTGTGACATAAATGTATATAACTCTTTTAATTATCTTCTTTATTTATTTGCTTTTTTAATATTTACCTTATTTATTTTTTTGTCCTTTATAATCTTCAACTTTATTTTTTAATTACTTATATTTTAAGTATTTATTTATGTGCATGTTATATTTTTGTTTTATTCTTCCTTTGTATTTTTTTACCTTAGTTATTTCTTTGCAGCTATTTCTTTCTGCCCTTTTTGCATTTCTATCTCATTATGCAAATGAGGAGGGGGTGTGGCTTAGAGAGTCAACTTCTGCTCATTGGTTGGCTTGGCAGTCCATCTTCTTAACTCATAGAGCTCAGAGTATATCAGTTAAATGTTCTCTTTTCTGTTGCTGTTGTTCAATAAAAGTACGTTTTAAGATTATTTGAGGCGAGAACCTTATACTTTTAAGCGTCTCCATATGGCCCATTCACAGATTTAATGCGTAATTTAAAATAAAATGTTCCGAACTTGAGAGGACCGCGACTCCGAAGCTAATGGCAGCCCGTCTGCAGCGGCCCTTTCTCAGCATAGCCGTGTGTGAACGACCGCCCGCTATGATGGCGATTTTTGTTGTATTTGGGAAAAGTCCCTACTCGCGTTCTAATGACTTCAGACTCTCCTGTAGATTCGACCGATGAAGTAAAATGTTAACCAACACAGATGGTGAAAAGCAGATCATAGTGAAAAAAGATAACTAAAATTAAGTAATTGTTTGAAATTATTGAATTTTGTCCTTGATTTGAACATATAAATAATATTATCTGCCAGTGAGAAAGATTTTTGCTCTTAGAATAGTAAAAAATAATCTCTCTAAAGTTTCAAATGAACTTTACACATAGTCACACAGGTTTATTCAACATCACAAACCTGAACTTGATCAATGTGATGGAGGATCCACTGGTTGTCCTTTCTGCTCCTCACTCTCTCCCTCACAGCCTCCATCTTCCTCCTCACTCTCAGGATTGAAAGCTTCTGTTTCTGATTTGTCAGCTTCCTCACTAACCATCTCATCCTCCTCTCTTTCATCCTGCTCCTCGGCTCTGTTATCTTCATCCTCCCTCTTCTTGCTAACAGTGGTGAAAAATGAGGCAATGTCTCTTTTTCTTTTCATGACTACTGACGTTTCCTGAGCTGCAAGAAACTAAAGGATAATATCTAATTGGCATAACCGTGACAGAATCTTAAATATCCTTAAGTTTAAAACTAGCAACTTTATATTGAATTCACTGGTAAAGTAATACCATGATAGAAAATATTAAATCAGTTCCTCATGACAGAAGGTTTCATTGCAGTAAAAACGTCAGCAGCGCTCAAAGATGAGCCAAACCGCGCATCAACAAACAATCAGGTTTCCTGCTTTCCTCCGTCTCTTTAACTGTTTTCTGTTAGTCGTCCGACTCGTCTGTAAATGCTTTTCTTCTTCTTTCTTTTTCTCATTGAGAAAATCCTATGTGAGCGCGCACCGCACTAAAGATTCCTCATGAAACGGTGCGGCATATTAGTTCCAGTTTCTGTGTCATCGCATTCGGTTCGGTGCAGGGGCCATAATGGAGGCCAGGGCCGGTTCTACAGGGGCACCGGCCCCCGTGGGCCCCTGTCTAAAACCGCCTATGAGACAGAGGGAAGGATTTAGCTAAGCTAAGCTAACAGTAAAGGTGAGGGTTCAATGATTGAAGTGACAGGTGTTGCCATGTCCTTCTAACGGGTCGCTGTGTTTCAGCGCGGGTGGAGGCGGGTCAGCGGAGGGTTCTGGATGAGGCGACCCGCCAGAGGAGGCTGACCCGGCAGCTGGAGGCTCTGGAGAAAGACAACTTCCAGGTGGGTGGAGTCAATCGGTAGCCTAGTGAACTAGCCCCGCCCACCAGCGAGTGGTCTAACCTGGATCCAAGCCCTAGAACTGGCTGGCCAATCACAGCGCAGAGATGTTTCTAATGGATGCAAAGTGGGCGGGGTTAAAAAGTTTCACATTAAAGTTCATCAGAAGGAAAAGAGAAGAAAGGAGGTTAGATCAAACTGGACCTGGATTAGATTGGACTGTCCTCTGTGTCTCTGCGTCTCCAGGACGACCCCCTGTCCTCCCTGCCCCCCCCAGGTCCAACAGCCCGTCTGCCAGCCTTCAGCGAGACAGAAGAACCAGGTGAGTGGATGAAGGTCCCTCTGTCCCTCTCTGTCCCTCTGACTGGTCTCTGTCCCCTCAGTCCCTCTGACTGGTCTCTGTCCCTCTCTGTCTGTCCCTCTCTGTCCCTCTGACTGGTTTCTGTCCCCTCAGTCCCTCTGACTGGTCTCTGTCCCTCTCTGTCTGTCCCTCTCTGTCCCTCTG